TATATATATATATACACGTATCGTGACCTGTTGGTAGAATATTATTTCTGAAGATTGTAAGTCTCCTCAGATCACATATTCGAATCCCACTTTTGTATGGACAGTACACGAATATTTAGGACATCTAGAGATGAACAATACTGTCTAATAGTTTTCGGTCATTCCTTTATAAAAAAAATAAAATTATATATATAGTATTTAAAATTTTACAAATAGTTATCTAACATTAATTTGATATTTGGGTCTTTGGGCTACATATTTGGCTACACGGAGGGTCGGCTGAATTGTCTCGGTGGGAGAGAGAAAAAGAGCAGTGCACGCTGCATGCATGAATGCGCGTGGGGTCCACACGAGCCAAAGTTAAATGAGCCCTACCTCTAAGCCATTCATTACTCATGTAGCCAAGCTACGAGATGCGTGAAATGGCACCTTGGAGGTATATAGCATAGCCAGGGCTGGCTACGTGGCATATTACTACTGGATACACGCTTTGTGCTTTCGGCCAATGGGCAATGTTGGAGGGACTGCGTAACAGTCGTTAATGATACCATGGGGCCGCTGACTGTTCATTCCCTTCTCGCTGCACGCCGAACGCGGTGTCGTGGATCTCAGGACCTTTCTTCTTAAAAAGATTGGAAGATTTACATATATGCCATAATTTAATAATTAATATTTATCTTTTATTTAAATCATTTTATATATACATTAATAAATATATTACATTTTTTATGTGATATGAAATATTTATGAAAAAGTATATATTTTTTAAAATTAAGATAAATGAATTTTTAATGGAATATGGAAAATTTGAGGGGTATAAGAAAATATAATTTAAATATTATATAATTAAATACAAGTATATGAATGCACATCACTTAATTATTTTTTATTTAATTTTTATCTATTTTACACACTTAAATATTTATAATTACATGTATATAATTTAAAATTTTAATATTAAATTAAAAAATATTATTATCATAATTTTTTTAAAATGAAATACATGATAAATTTATAATATGTTTTTATAAGGAAGTGATGTGTAAATACATAGAAATTGTTTGGTATATATGTAAATTTATTTATTTATTTATTGGAGATGTTTCTCAGGTGCGGTGCAGAAATTTTTGTGTGAGCTCCTGAGGTAGTTTTACATGCGGTGCAAGGTATTCCTGAGTTATTTTCAGGTTATTTTTGTGTTATTTTCAATAATCCCGAAATAACCCAAAAATAAAGACCGCGAGTTATTTCTGGGTTATTTCGGGATTATTAAAAATAACTCAGAAATAAGCTGAAAAAAACTCAGGAATACCCTGCGTCGCACGTAAAGCTATCTCAGGAGTCTGCACAGAAAATGAGCCCATAAGGCGGAGTGCAGCCTGGATTCTTCTGGAAATTTATTTATTTATATGTAGTTTTGTCGCACAGATGGCTACATCAGCACAAGGGGGAAAATATTGACACTTCCACTGCGGCGCAAGTCTGTGAGGAGTTGAATTTGTAATTAAAGTTTTTTTTATTTCTCACTCAATCAAATTAGAGTGAATAAAAAGCATTAGAATCAAACTCAACTTATTAGAATATTTTATAACTATATTAAATATATCTTTTTAATCAATAATACAATCATATTTTAAAAAAATATTAACTTTATATATATATATATATATA